AGTGAGAGCCAGGGGAAGAGAGTGAGAGCCAGGGGAAGAGAGTGAGAGCCAGGGGAAGAGAGTGAGAGCCAGGGGAAGAGAGTGAGAGCCAGGGGAAGAGAGTGAGAGCCAGGGGAAGAGAGTGAGAGCCAGGGGAAGAGAGTGAGAGCCAGGGGAAGAGAGTGAGAGCCAGGGGAAGAGAGTGAGAGCCAGGGGAAGAGAGTGAGAGCCAGGGGAAGTGAGTGAGAGCCAGGGGAAGAGAGTGAGAGCCAGGGGAAGTGAGTGAGAGCCAGGGGAAGAGAGTGAGAGCCAGGGGAAGTGAGTGAGAGCCAGGGGAAGAGAGTGAGAGCCAGGGGAAGAGAGTGAGAGCCAGGGGAAGAGAGTGAGAGCCAGGGGAAGAGAGTGAGAGCCAGGGGAAGAGAGTGAGAGCCAGGGGAAGAGAGTAAGTAGGAATAGAAAGTCAAGATTAAGCATAATATCGAACATGTTGTTTATACAGTACAAATATTACCAATGTTGCTCTGGTGAGATGGGGAGGGAGGAGGTGGGGTTCATGTTTGGTGATGAAAGGGGGGGGGGGAATGGCGGGGGGGGGGATGAATGGCTCACACACACAGTTGCGTGTGTGAGCCCGAACCTGTCCCCCGAGGCCCACATCAAAAGGATATCATCAGCGGCATATGCTAGGTTGGTCAACATAAGAACTGCCTTGTCTAACTTGTGTAAGGAATCGTTTAGGAACCTGTATACCACTTATGTCAGATTAATCCTGGAATATGCAGCTCCTGCCTGGAGTCCATATCTGGTTAAACACAAGACAAAGTTTTAGAGAAGATTCAACGGTATGCCACCAGACTTGTCCCGGAACCGAGAGGTATGAGCTACGAGGAAAGGTTCAATTAAGGCGCTGAACCTAATGTTCTAGAAAACAGAAGAGTAAGGGGAGACATGATAACCACCTACAAGATTCTCAGGGGCATTGACAGGGTGGACAAAGACAAACTCTTCAGCACGGGTGGGACACAAACAAGGGGACACAGGTGCAAACTTAGTACCCAAGTGAGCCACAGAGACATTAGAAAGATTTTTTTCAATGTCAGAGTAGTTAACAAGTGGAATGCATTAGACAGTGATGTGGTGGAGGCTGACTCCATACACAGTTTCAAATGTAGATATGATAGAGCCCAGTAGGCTCAGGAACCTGTACTTCAGTTGATTGGCGGTTGAGAGGCGGGACCAAAGAGACGGAACTCAACCCCGCAAGCACAACAAGGTGAGTACACAATTGTGTGTGTGTGGGGGGGGGGTGTGGTATGGCCACGACTGGAGCTTTGTGTTGCTGTGTCCTTGAGTTCAATTTTCTCTTCCATCTCATCCTCCCCTTTCTTCAATTCATCTTTTCTCTCCCCCCCCACCCCAACTCTCCCCCACCCGTAATAACCTCCCGCCGCACCTGCTACTCACAATTTCCTCCCCACACCCCTCCTTCCTTTCCCACTCACTCACACTTACCTTACAGTTACCTTGCGATGATTCCGGGGCTTAGCGTCCCTGCGGCCCGGTCCTCGACCAGCCTCCTGGTTGCTGGACTGGTCAACAAGGCTGCTCGCAGCCTGACGGATGAATCACAGCCTGGTTGATCAGGTATCCTTCGGAGATGTGTATTGCGTTCTCTCTTGAACACTGTGAGGAGTCTGCCAGTTATGCCCCTTATGTGTAGTGGAAGCGTGTTGAACAGTCTCGGGCCTCTGATGTTGATAGAGTTCTCTCTCAGAGTACCTGTTGCACCTCTGCTCTTCAACGGGGGTATTCTGCACATCCTAACATGCCTTCTGGTCTCATGTGATGTTATTTCTGAGTGGAGGTTTGGGACCAGACCCTGTGTGTGCTCCGATATCCAAGATTTACATTTTAAATTTTACCTCCTAGGGCGAGTTTATTGGGCTGCGTCACTCATCCTGCGAGTGAGGATACCGCCATAGTGATAGTATTGGGCAGCGTCACTCATCCTGTCAGTGAACACACCGTCACAGTGACAGTATTGGGCAGCGCCACTCATTCTGTGAGTGGACACACCGTCACAGTGACAGTATTGAGCAGCGTCACTCATCCAGTGAGTGAACATACCGCTATAGTGAGAGTAGTGGGCAGCGCTACTCATCCAGTGAGTGAACACACCGCCATAGCTGCATGTACAACACAATGGGGGTGCTGGTGGCTGAGTGGACAGCACGCTGGATACGTAGTTCTGAGGTCCGGGGTTCGATTTCTGTCGTCAGCGGAAACAAAAATGGGCAGAGTTTCTTTCACCCTAATGCGCCTGTTACCTAGCAGCAAAGAGTTAGCCACCTGTTACGGGTTTTTCCCTTTATTTGTGTGTGTGTGATAAAAAATAGTAGTAGTTAGTAACAGCTGATTGATTGACAGTCGAGAGGCGGGCCGAAAGAGCAGAGCTCAACCCCCGCAAACACAGCTAGGTGAATACAATAGGAAGAAAACCCGCTAGGTTGTTCATCCTGTCACTTGTACCCCGACACAGCTGAGACTTGCTTAACTGTCTCAAGTGAACAACTTATCAAACAAGGAGATTAACATCTGTCAACCCCTGAACTTAAGCTATTTTGCGGATGCAAAATATGGGGGAAATCTTTTAAGAACAGTATCTATATTTGACAACTAGTATTTTCCTAACTGAAAAATGTATTTCCTAACTGAAAAATTTATTTTCCTAACTGAAAAATGTATTTTCCTAATTTAAATTATTCTACACATATTTCTTTAGATGTTCACATTCTCTCAGGTAACGGTCAAGGCCGTGTCCATCACTCTCACCACAGATTACGTAGCTACACAGTTGCTTATCTGGCGATGATTTCGGAGCTCAGCATGACAGCGGCCCGCTCCCCAACCATGCCTCCTAGTTTCACCTCTTGTTTCCATCTCAAATCTCCGTGGGATATATTTGTATCCAAGACGAATTCTCGTCATTACTGATTCTCTCCCCGCCACCACCACCACCTCTTCGGCCATAATGATTGGGTTAGGCAGCGGCCGCCACACTGTATCAGGCTACAGATTCACTGAATTGTTCCTCTATCCTCCTTTCCTCAGTTACTTCGTCAATATGTTGTCGAGTGTTGAATGTAAGACCCAGGCGATGAGTCACAATAACGTGGCTGAAGTATGTTGACTAATTCATACACTAGAAAACGAAGGGACGACGACGTTTCGGTCCGTCCTGGACCATTTTAAAGTCGATGTAAGGCCCAACTTTTGCCAGAAGGATAGGAGGGGACATGATTCCTGCCCCATGGGGATGGATCCTGTCGTCCTGATGGATAGATGGAGAGGCAGTCTTGTTGGGTAATAGGACCTGATCCTGTATATCCTGTGATTTGTCCTCTGGATAATACGTCTTTCCTTATTCTCATTTTCCGTTCACACACCTGCTTCATACCTCAACCTGCCTCATACCTCAACCTGCCTCTTATCTCAACCTGCCTCATATCTCAACCTGCCTCATATCTAAACCTGCCT